ATATATATATATATATATATATATATATATAAATCGGAGGAGGAGCAACGACCCGGTAGGGGAGAATGAGCAACTTCTTGTTCTAACTTGAATGGAGCTGAAGCCTGGACTCGACCTGATGCTGATCACCCTAGTTTAGCATCCATGTGGGTGACTCTGTGCATTCGGGATCGAATCAAGCCGTGTTGATTCATCGACCGCGGCATAAAATTGCTCAATATTTTTTGTGCTAGAAGGAGGGTCCGATGTCGCAAAAACGTCGACCACTAAATAACCCCAGCGAATGCCCTGGTGAGAAGGCACTTGCCACCATCTCCACCTTCAACCTCGAAGGGCAACTCTCCACTCTCCCACATATGGATGGAAGCGCCTCGGCTCAGACTTCGGGGGTGCTATTGACATTTGTTCAACGACCATGGGCTCTTGTCTCCTGGGGCTGGCGCAGGGCAGCTAGTTGTCTCTGTCGAGACGTTCCTCAACCTCGCCCATCGGGTGCAAGCATTAGTTGGGATCATGCAAACCATCGCACCCCTCTTACCCTAGTTAGTTCAGCAGACAGGTCTCTCCCCACGGTCATCGCCCGTGATCCAACCTACGCTCATCCCTATACCTCACAATGCCATCCCGGTCGACCAACCACCTCTAGCTCCAAATACCCACCCCTCAATCGGGGAGCTGCTAGTCATATGTGCTCTACAAGCCAATCACGCGAGTGATATCATGTGTGACATGCTATGCACTCTTTTTTACTTATTATATATTGGTATTTTATCACTTCATATTGCATGTTGCATGAATATATTGTGATGTCTATGAATATATGGAAATCAAATCGTGATAAGATCATGATAATCGATTCACCTTTAAACATAGACCCTAAATAATTTCGATCATAGGTTACTTGAGAGAGATATCGAGATAACCAGATATACTAGTTTATTGTATACCCGTACACATGATAGAGATGGTTGGTCTCATAGCTGCTCGTGTGGGGACACTAGGGATATAATGTATGTGCTAATTGGAGAATAAGTTCACTGATTGACCCGCTCGCAGAATGCTAGATGGTTGAAGATGCCTTATTGTCAAATAGCGATTACGTAGTCCTAGTGGTGTATATGATCTTTAGACTTCAGATATCAAGAATGTCCTATATGAGCACTCCACTCTTTGACACCGGACTTGTAGGTATGGAGGTTCCAGATCTAGCACAACTAGTCATCGGGAGTGGTAGCCAACTTTATGAGGGCTATTGAGTATCAATAGAGGATCATCCGCTCTTGTCCTTATGAGAAGAATATCCCATGTGTTCTTGCTCAAACAAATCTCTAGCCAAGGTCATTCAGATTGAGAGAGAAAGAGTTCTCTGGGAGAATCTGATTAAAGCGAGACTCGAGTAGAAACTATATGAGCCTGACAGTATCATGCCCGATATATGGTCTCTGGATATTAGATAGATGAGCGACTATAGATATATGGTAACTGAGGACATATATGTCCAAAGGATTGGATTGCCCTGTATCGTTTGGGGACTGCGACGTAGTGACCTAGTACGTCCGCAATTAATGAGTCGAGTAAATTATTATGAAGATAAAATTAAGTGAATTATTCAAGGTCTTTTTGGTCGCTGGTCGAGAGGCCACCAACGATTGTTCCCGAGATGCTCTAGCGGGCCAACCAGTATA